AAAAAAAATTGATTACAGATTGAGACAATAATTAGGATATAGTAGGTAGTAATCCCATTGCTCCTTTTACTCTTTTAAATGCATCTGCCAGAAAGTTTTCTATTTTTGTTTGGGCAATGATGATTTGGAAGACAAGAGTCCTTTGATTTATAGACTATAAATGCAAGGTAGTATTTCCCAGTGGAGTGACAAGCATATTATAGCTGCCCCAGGTAAATTTTTTCTTTCCAGTGACCAGCCGAGCTTATCATCCTACCTGATGTTTCACAGATTTTATATATATACACACACACACACACACACACACACAGATATTATGACAGTTATATATACACATATACACATGACAGTTACATATGTGTATGTGTGTGTATATATGTATAATTAATTTAAGTATATTTTAGATGCTGTAATTCTGGGCATCTTCAGGAACCTGTGGCTGTGAAGTCTTTTACCTGTTCCTCTGGTCACCATGGCAGCAGCAATTTGTTCCTTTGGGTTAACAGAGCGTCTATCCCACAGAGTTCATAATCTTTTCGACTGCAATACCAGGCCCTTATTATAGAACTGCTGCTGCTCACTGACTGTCGCCCATGCCCTGCACCAGGTTGTGTGTTCCACGTCTACTACTCCGTTTGATGCTCACATAGGGTCATCAGGGTAACTGCAAATGAGGAAAGTGGGATTTAGACAATAACTGTCCAAGCCAGCTTCAGCCTCATTTCAAAACCTGAGCTCCCATCCTTTCTGCTGCACTGCCTCCTACAGCCCGGGCACTGGAAAGCAGCGGCTCCCGGCAGGAGGCAGGAACATGCATGTTTTGAGGGGATGGCAACACCTCGCTCCTCCCCAAGCTTCTAAGAATATCTTCTCTGCTTTTTGGCCTTGGTTCCCCAGGGAGAGCTGCCCTCAGCACTGGGCTGGAGAGCTAGCTGGGAGCCTTTCACACAGGCGGAGAGGAAATGCCAGGAAGTGGGAGGGCCTCTGGTGTCTCCAGACAAGAAGCTGAAGAGGGTGGAGGAGTCAGAAGGGACATCCTGCCCCACTCTAGTTAGCTGCCCACTAGAGAGAAAGGCCAAAGGCCACTCCGGGTGACACACAGATCACTCACAGGCACAGATGGACAAAAGTATAGCATCACAAGAGGCTGATGTATAGGATATATTCTATTTGCTCAGTATTTGTGCCACTGTAAGAACAAAGGAATTCTAGGAAAACGTAAATTTTATGGAAAGTGGCTTGGAAAGTAATTACATCACTATCAATCTCTAAGAATCTTTGAATACCAAGTACCTGGAGCAGGCATACACCTCTCCTCCCTTCTACCTTCTGAAAGATTTTGCTCTTCCTGCTAGAGTTTCATGTGAGAGGAGAGGAGCAGTTATCAGAGAGATAGGAGCAAAACTGCAAAGTAAGCCTGCACACCTGTAATCCCAGCAACTTGGGAGGCTGAAGCAAGAGGATTGCAAGTTCAAGGCCAGACTCAGCAACTTAACTAGACCCTCAGCAAGATCCTGTCTCAAAATAAAAAGGACTGGAGATGTGACTCAGTAGTTAAGTGCCCCTGGATTCAATCCCCAGAACTCAAAACAATAAAACAAACTAACAAAACACAGGACCATGAAGTAAATATTTAAAAAGCTAGCATTTAGACCAGACCAACCTAGTAAACTCCAGGTTTAGCTTGCCAGGAGAAACTTGTGTTTAAAGTATTGACTACAAGACCCAGATTTTCAAGAGCACCTGCTCAGGTTTCAAAGGCTCATTCCTTGAATAGGTGTGAGAAGCACAAGGTAAACATCAGATGGCTGAAGTACACAGGAGACAGGCAGGGCCCCTGGGAGGAAGGGATTCTCTACCCCATGCACAGGTCCTTGTAGAAACATGACCTGACCTTACCAGTCAGCCAAGGTCAGTGTCTTCCAGGAGTGGTATGTGCCTGTGGTTACCTAAAGGAGCAGGCTTTGAATCCTGAGGATTCATTTTGCTGCCGACTTCCCAGTTCAGGCTTTATTCCACTTCCTAAGGCTTCTGGAACCCTTGCTGAGTGGAAACCTCATTTTCAGAGACTGTGAACAAGTATTTGCAAGAAGACACAACAGCAAAGTCTGAGTTCACACCCTGACAGGCAATAGCCACTTTTACCTGCTTTTATTTCTGGAATGGTGAGTGCAAGATGTGCTCTACCTTCAGGAGTGCTCCTGTTAGGGAATTTGCTGTTATCCATCCCAGCCTGACACCTGATAGTACTCAGTTAGGAATCTACCCAGATCCTAGTATCTTAGGGCAAGAAGCTGGTAAGGTCAGAGGTCCATGTCCTCTGTCCTTCCCCACTTAACTGTCAAGGAAATTGAGGCTCAATACTGTCTCATTGACTCAGGAGAGCTGGGGGGACCTTGTCTTTTCCCAGAAGACACCAGGAGATGAAAGGGTGTGCTGGTTACCTTTGCCTCTTCCTTGGACCATTACAGAGTCCTCTTAGTGTAGCTTGTCTCAGTCCAAGTAGGCCACACATCTTTTTCTGCCTCTCACCTTCTCCAGTTCATTTAACTTCCAGGTTTCCACTATGATCAGGCCACTGATTTACAAAGGGAGGCCAGGGGTAAGCAGGAAGAGAGGTTGGGCAGCTTGGAGGCCTATTATCCTGGTAACAGCTAATCTTATCTGGTCTGGATGCCGAACAGCTGGCCCTAGACCTGGTTTATGGCCTAAGCTGGTACGCATTCAGGAAAGCATAAATCAGCCAGAGAGCCCTCCCTGAATCCAGTAGCTAGGTAGCAAAGGCCTAGCTCACTGACAAAGGAGCCACCTCTGAACCTCCGCTGGCCAAGCTCAGGCTACGTTTGTTCCGAAGTATCCTCGGATGAAACAACACGGCCTCCTCCATCAACCACTGTGGTATTGGCAATTTGTAAGCATAAGAATTTCCCAGAAGGGAAGAAGACTGGAGAAGAGAAGTGGAGAACAGCAAGACCCTCTGGCAGCCACAGTCCTACGACTCCCCCTAGCCTGGTTTTAACCTCAGGCATTTCCACTCCAGCCGATCAAGCGAATTGCACAAATTGGGCCTGTAACTATGGCAACAGTTTCCAGCAGAGGATGACCATTTCCTGAACTGCTCCATTTCTGTCTCCCTCCTCCTCTGAGGGCAAGGTGGGGGCAGGGGGAAGTGGAAGGGACTGAGCTCAGCAGAGTGCAATTAGGGCCCACAGAGGTAAACCAGGTGTCTAGAAGCAGGAGAACCCAGATCAGCATGGGGTGCTCTAGACCTGAGGATCTAAGGCTTAATTAAGGAATTGAGTTTAACTCCCTTTGATTTTACTCCACAAGTGCAAGTCTGTAGGGTTTATTTTTAATCAAAACATTCAATTTCTTCCTTAGAGCAAAGACATTAAGACAAAAAATATATATATAAAATTAAAGCAAATAAAATACCCCACTCCCATGATTCCCATCCCCTAAAATAACGTTTTAATGACTGTGTGATATTCAATCATACAGAATTGTTACATATTGTTTAACCAAGCCCCTACTATTAGCTATGAAGATATTAGTTTGTGGCTAATACCTGAGTGTTAGAAATAAAATTTGATTCTATATGATCATATGATCTTATTTGTTTAGGATAGACCCTCAAAATTAGAATTTCTGAGTCAAAGATACACATATTCTTAGGGTTTGTGAATGTGTATTGAAAAACTGCTATCATCAATCCTACTAGCAGTGTACCTCTGTTTCTTGAATTCTCACGCCAACATTGAACATCGTTGATATTTTCTTCTGCTTTGGCCATGCTCACTTGTAAGCATTTGAGAATACAAAATGCTTATTACAATTAATATTAATCTGTCTGCTTAAAGGCCCAATTCGGTGTTAGATCTGCAACTCCAAGAGACACACACTGTTCCTGGCTTCAAAAATTCTCATCAGAAAGGCAGTTTGAAAACACTAAGAATCAAAGATCATCCAGAGTAGGAATACAAATTTTAAAAGCTTGTATGGTAGGGGAAGAAGGGACACCAAGGGTGTAACAATATGTTATCTCTAGCATCCTAGGTTTGAGACCTCGGCTTTCCAATGACACACCCATTAACAACCCTCCCTTACTGAGTTTCTACCAAATGTGAGGGACTATGCTAATTATGTAATCTCACAGTATCTTTGGACATCATCTGAGCGGGTTTTATTACACTCATGGTGAAATGGAGGAAACTGAGGCACAGATTTAACCGATCGCCCAAGGTCTCACACATCTGATAAACATCTGAGCCAGAAAGATCCACAGTATTCTGTGATTAGGATGAGGGAGTGTTTGGACTCAGGATTTTGCTCTAAGCTGTCCTAGTAGAGGAGGGAGAGAGAGAAACAGAAGCTCAGGGAAGCACCAATTATGGCAAATTTGCTTTAGAGAAATGTAAACCCCATATTCCACAGGTTTAGGAAATTTCCCTCTGAGATGAGCCAGAGCTGAGGGTCTGGATTCCACCTGGGGGGTCTTGTAACTGAAAGAAGTTAAGTAGAGAATGGCTATTGGCTATTTCTTCCCTTCTCTCACGTCAGACAATCAGGGTTTCTCAGGCCTTAGTGTCTAGTGATAGATGATAGGAATCTAATCAAAGTAGATTCCTAGATCCACCCCGAGACATTCTGGTTGAGAGGGTCTGGAGCAGGGCTCTGGGATCTGGACTACCAGGAGAGATGGGTATAAGTAGTTCCTGGATGAAGTTTTGAGACCACAGCAAGCTTACCTAATCCTGAGGTGGTGTGTGATGCCAGCACCTTTCCTAATAGAGTGATCCGAAAGAGAGCCCGGGGTAGGTGGGAATTCAACCCTCCAGATGGGTGTGGATGTGCCTAGCTAATGGCTGGGCCATCTTACCTGAGGGAGGCTGTGACCTCCCAAGAGACCTTTCATTCCTGCCACACATCAGACAATGAAGAGCGGCCCCCAGCTTCTTGCCCTGATCTATGTAAATGGAAGGCTAAGACTCATCCAATCCATGGGACCTCAAGCTCAGGTGCGGGAGATGGACTGCCTGCTTGTTAGTGGATTATCTTTTAGACATTAGCTCACTCATTCTAGGAAATATCCCTATAAGATAGCTTCAGCAGGAGAGAATAATTGTCATTACTACTAGCTACGCCCCTTCATCACCATCATTACCATTACCACCATAACCATTATCAAACCTAATAGTGATGAAGCTAGGCATGGTGGTGCACGTCTGTAATCCTGGTGATTTGGAGGCTAAGGCAGGAGGATTACAAGTTTGAGGCTGACTTAGTCAACTTAGCAAGACCCTGTCTCAACATAAAAAAAGGTCTGGGGGTGTAGCTCAGTGGAAGAGACTTCCTCCCCTGGGGTTCCATCCCCAGTGATTTCTTAAAAGTAAAATCCACAAACTAACATTGATGAATGACCCTTTGCATAGGCATTGTACCAAGGACTAGATTTGGACGGCTATTTTAATCCTTACCATATCACTTTGAGGAAGACCTCATTATAGTTTGTCCCCATTTTATAGATCTCAAGTGGAAGGCACAGAGAGAGGAAGTAACATGACCCAGGTCACACAGAATACTAGCACAGGCCATCTGGCTACATTTGGGTGGGTCCTAGAACTCTTATTTTGCTGGTAGAGGGGGACAGAAAAGTCATGTCACTTGCCCAAACACAAAGATTATCAGTGGTGTCACTGGATCAATGACCTGAGTTTTCTGACTCCATGCTCCAGCCTTTGTGAAAGACTGCTGCTCCTAATTGTTAGGACAGACTCAGAAGCAGGGGGTATGTGTTAATTAACAGCACTGGAGAGGAGGCAAGTTGTGGGCCTCAGGGGATTCTGCACTATCACATGGGTTCCAGGAACGAGTGGCCAAGAGGCTGAGCCTCTCAGGGTTCTGCAGTGTAACATGTCATCCTGGACTCTCAGGACAGGTCCCAATCCCCCACCAGAAGCTGTGCTCTGCTAGGGTCTGAATGCCATGGTGATCACCTAACACTAGGACTGATGCTCTTTGCCAGTGTGCTGGGGACTTGCCTTGAAGCTGCCAAAATCACTGTGGGCTTCCATGCCCCCTGGAACATCGCCCATCCCTGCAGTGTGCAGAGGCTGGGGGCAGGCCATGGACAAGGTTAGCTCAGAGCCAGTGGGCCTGGGAAACTTCAGCTGGGAGTTCACTTACACCAACTCCACCTGCAGTGCCAAGGAGTCCCTTGCTCTTTTTATTAACCAGGTCCAGGGAGGACACATTTCTGCCCTGTTTGGACCAGCATGCCCTGGAGCAGCAAAGGTACAGTATACTGTCTACTGCAAACTTTAGCTCTTTCCATTGGAAGAGGTAGTCTTGACGATTACAGCATAGACGTGAATAATCTCTTGGCAAGGATCATGTTATTTTAACAATAGCTGTGTAGTTCTTGGGAACCATTTTTAATTTTAGATGTAATTAGAACAGTGAACATTCTCTTTTTAAAAAAGTCTTTCAAATAAACAATTGTTAGTTCTCATGTGCTCTTACTCTGCCTGCTGATTGTTGATGATTGGAACTTGATGCTGCTGTTTATGACTGCCTTTATTCACTTCACTATCATCAGACACATGGTTTGGAAAAATTAAGAGGAAAACCAAGGCGTGGTGTTTTTTTTGCTTGTTTGTTTTTGTTTTTGTTTTTGGTACTAGGGGTTGAACTCAGGGGCACTTGATCACTAACCCATATCCCCAGCCATATTTTGCATTTTATTTAGAGACAGGGTCTCTCTGAGTTGCTTAGTGCCTCGCCATTGCTGAGGCTGGCTTTGAACTTGTTATCCTCCTGCCTTAGCCTCCTGAGCCATTGGGATTACAGGTTTGGGATATCATGCCTGGCAAGGCTTGGTTTTAAATATAAAGTTCTCAATTGTTTGAGCAGGTTTTCCTCTGGTGTGTGTGATAAACTATTCAGGGATAATGCAAGTATTTGGAAGACTGAAGTATGACAGTGTGCTTTAAACTCGAGCAAGCAAATAAGGAAAATGAATGCTTTGTGTTTGGTTAATGGAATTAGCTGGGTTGATGTCCTCAGGTATTATGACATCTGAGAGATGTTGATGTGCAGGGTGAATAGGAAGGAGCTTCACAATCTCATTCCCCTCCATATGTAGAATTCTCAGTAGTTGGTGCTGTACAATTAAGTTCAAGTTTAAATTTGCATCCTGGTGTCTCCTGCAATTCCCCACTTGACACATTTCTAGTTGTTCAAGGTCTACCCATTCTTCAAAGTCAACCTCAAGTGTCATGGGGCTTTTCTTCAGCAGCCCCCTCACCCTCCATATCCCTAATTCCTTAATTAAAAGTAATGTATTACTTTTCAAACTCCTATAAATATATTGTCTGTAAATTTTGGAGGGTATATTTAATTCTAAACTATCTTTTCTATATCTTAGTTCCTGTACTTGGCCATAAGCTCCTTTAAGAACAAGTTCTCCAAAGTTCCTTGTGAATTATGAGATCCTAAGGAAAAATGTGTAAGAAGAAAACAAAAAGAAAGAAAGAGTGACTGAGTTAGCTATGAACATGGGTTCTGGAACCATATAGCCTGAGTTTCAAAGCTTCTGCACTATTTGATGGCTATATAACTGATCTCTGCATCTCTATTTTCATATTTAAAAAAGTTGAAATAAAATACTAAGTTCTTAGTAGAGTTCTTTGCACATAGTGAGTGATCAGTTAACTCTTGCCTTTATATCTCTCGTCCTCTGAGGAATTGCATCTACAAATTGATTCCAAGACATTCCAACATTCTGAAAGAGAGGGTCCAATAAGACCCACAGACTTCCTGGATCTGAGGTTTATGCAGATACTTTACTTTGAGGTTTGAGTGTTGCATCAACTCTATGGCGAAAAGATGTCCTCTTGGTTTCTTTCAAGGGTGCTGGTTTGCTGGCTTCTGAGTGGAAGATCCCTGTTTGACTTTGTTGGATCAATGGCTAAGTTGAAGAGCCATTTTTTGTATGATACTTGCATTGACACTTGTGCTATCGAAGCTGGAAAAAGGTGACATGCTTCAGAAAAGGTCTACCTTTCTGAAGGTTTCCAACCTAGGTCTCTCGTACCTAGGTTGGAAACACATTGGGTTGTTTGGATGCCACTCTGGGCCTCCTCCTGGGATAGTGGGAATGAGCCATGGAGGGTTGTGGAGATGAACTAAAATCCCATTTCACCATCACTGCCAACATGAGACCCACCAGCAGTAACCGAGTCCTCCTTCAGGAGGATCTCAGAAGCATGTCACCAGTCGCCAGGGGAAAGTAGGAAAGAGATTTCCTTTGCTTATATTCAGAGCATCAAATAGGTTGGGCAAAGTTTTTGAGTACAATTAAGAACTCTTCACTTTGCCTAAAGTGTAATCTCAGGTGCTATAGTGTAAGTTCTAGAAGTATATTCCAGGTAAGCCGGGTCCTGGACTTTGGTAGTTGTTCAGAGCATGGGCTCTGGAGACAGACACACTAAGCTTTGATTCCTGCCTGACACTTTCTAGCTGTGTGCTCCTGGGAAGTTCCTTAACCTCTCTGTGCCTCAGATCCCTCACCTGTAAAACGGAGACCACCATCCTACCTCCCCTCTAGAAAGGCAGGGATTAAGAAAGGTCACATGTGACACAGGAGCAGTGCAGAATCTGGACAGCAGGTCAACATAGGGCAGCAGATATTTTTGTGGTGCTGCTTAGAAGACTTTCTTTCCTAGCACGGGTTGGTCACTGACTCCTTTCTGATCTTCAAATAAACTAAGCTCTTATGGCCTTGGGACTGTGGGATTTGCTTATCCTTCTTCCCAGAGTGCCACCCAATGCCACACCCCACCCAGCATTCCTCTTGCTTTCCAGATGGGGTCCAGTGCCCACCTCCTCAGAGCAGCTGTCCCTTGCTGTTCCATGCAGAGCTGTTCCCCCTCCCCCACTAATGAGAGGCTTCTTTGAGCTCTTCCATCCTTTGCCGGGCTCACTGCGGTCTCCATGTGTCTTGTCGGACACATGACTGGAGCTCAGACAAATACATTATAAATTACCTAATTTCAAAAATAAGCCACTACTTCATTTGTGTGTCTCCAGAATAAATGATGATGCGCTTGCATGGAATGAGAATACCATGGCTACGCCCACCCCCCGCCCATTTCAGCCCAGAGAGTCTGAACGTTCTGGATTCTAGGTCCTCTGTGACCTCCTCTGAGCCAATGTGAAGCTGCTGAGTCACTGACAAGATCTTTTGTTTTGATATTCTGAGTCAATTAGATGAAAGAAACTGACTCACAGAAATAATCTCAAAGCATTTGGACTTGTGCATTGTACGGGTGGAGACTGCAGCAAAGGCTAATTTCCATGAGGCAACAGCTGCCGAGTTGTATGTTGCAGGCTTGTTTTAAGAAGTCTACATTCTGGGACTAGTTGAGGAGCTTCTATTTCCTGAAGCACACTTAAGGAAAGAAAAAGATTGTGTCTGCTTTGGAGTGGCTTTAGGCTAGGCTTTCAAAAGAGAGTGGTGTGTGTGTGTGTGTGTGTGTGTGTGTGTGTGTGTGTATGCACGTGCGCGTGTGCATGATGCAGCTGACCAACTCTGTCTTCCTTTCCTGTAGTTATCATCTTTATCTGCAACCCAGAGGATGCAAAAATTATTCTGCGGGCTGCAGAGAACCTGGGACTCAGCACTGGAGAATTTGCCTTTATTATTTTGCCACAGTTGGAGGTAGATGCTGACCCGCACTCAGTGGCTCCGGTAATGAGAATGGAGTCCTTGCTGTGAACCAGGATGTATTAGTTCACCAAATACTACCACCTAGAAGGTGGGCCCTCCCGAGTCCTCATCTTGAGATGAGGAGACTAGGACTGAGCTGAAAGAATGTACCCAGAGTTCTTTGTAGAGGCAGTGGGAAGCTGTGCCCGGAGGAGCCAGTGTGGAGCCTGGCTTCTGCACCTACTGAAGAACTGTCATTTCTATCAGGGAAGTGGGACCTTCCCAAAGGTCTGTCAAACACATGTGGCTCTCATTTCTTATTCTTCCACAGCCGCCTCCTGTGTCCTTGAAGCACATATAAATGCCTGGAGAGAGCAACATACTGGCCCACTCAGATATTGAGTATTGTTACACACTTGGCATGCATTGTTGAACTGGATATTCCCAGTAGCCCCGTGAGGCAGCTATTACATGCATTGTTGCACTTGAGGTTTCCAAAAGTCTCAGAAAGAAGACACAATTAACACTCTGACTTACAGATGAAAAACCAAAGCTTAGATAAGAAAGGTAGCTTACCTAAGAAGATCTCAGCACTCTCAAGTGGCACAGCTGGGGTTCCAAACTGGGTCTTTTGCCCTTCACCCCATAGCTGTCTTATGGAGTATTTGTGAGGTGTCTGGCTGCTTGGTATATTAGAATTCATTTCAGCTTACAACCACCCTACGGTGCAGGTACTCTTTTTAGTCTCATTTTATAGAAGGGAAAACTGAGTTTCTGAGAGGTGAAATGACTATACAACTAGCATGCAGGAGGACTACTGTTCCACCCAGTGGGCTGGCCTCGGTGTCTCTGTGTGTAAGCACTGCACCATACTGCAGGCAGAGTCTAGAAATGCCACTGGACTTCAGCTATGGACACACTGTATGCTTTTCCCAACAGGTTTGCTTGCTAAAATGAGGTTGTTTTATATATTCGAGAAGCTGACATGGGGCAAAGGAAGTAGAGGGAGATGTATAACAATGTCCAGGATTTCTCTTTCTTTATCAGGAAGTATTTCAGATGACCAAAAGTGCCTCAGATTTCTTTGGTTGGCAGATGGAATTCTAAGTGCATGCCAGGATTTCCAGAGCCTTCTCTTGCCTTACCTTTCTATGCACCCCCCCCCCATCGCTGCCTTCTCTTAATTTCCCCCTCACCTCTGCCTTCAGGGAGAGCATGAGAGGTGGGGATGTGCCAAGTCTTAGTATTTCAGAGAAGTCCTTCTAAACTTCCCTCCCTCCTGTTGCTTCCCCCCAAAATTTGAAGATCAATCCCATTGGTTTGTAGTAGCAGAGAGTGTCTAGAACTCAGGCTGCAGTTGTGGCTCAGTGGTAGGGCACTTGCCTGCCTAGCATGGGTGAGGCACTGGGTTTGATTCTCAGCACCACATATAAATAAATTAAATAAAGGTCCATCGACAACTAAAAAATACATATGTAAAAAAGAAGGACCTAGAACTAAAAAGGTACCACACAATGTCCATGCAACTGAATCCAGGCTGCTTTTAAAGAGAATATATAAATCCATTCTATGAAAGTGTTCCCAATGAAGGTTTAAGTAGAAAAAAAAGTCAAGCTGCAGAATGATAGTATAGTGCAACAGCATATTCATAAACACACCAACATGTAGACACACACACACACACACACACACTCTCTCTCTCTCCTCTCTACGTGCCTGTTTTGTTTGGGTAACTCTCAGTGCAGGATGAGAGGAAGTAATAGGAAAATTAGGAAATACACTATGAATGGCTATATACTACTACTACTAATAATAGTGACAGTCACAAAACACCAGTTACCAACAGAATGTTGGAAATAGAGGATCCTAAACTTTCCAAACTTTTGTACTCATTGCTATTGGGTAAGCTTTCTGCTCTGCCTCTTAGCTGCTTGATGCCCCAGGTATAATTTTAATTTATGTTTTGTCTTTCTTCCCACAGCTTGTATACTAACTAGAGAACATGAGCCTTATATGTCTAGCCTCCTGGAATCACTGGGTTTCCAGTGATTCCAGCAATTCAAGTTCAATATGGCCTCAAATGCAGTTCAGCTGCACAGCTTATTTCTTATAGAATGGTGACATTAATTTCCTTTCTTCTTAGGAAATGTTTGGAAAGATGTATTGTCAAACCAGAAAGTGAACTGCCTCCCAGAGGCCTATGAATGAGTATTTCTCATCACGCTCAGCTCCCATGGAGAGCGTGGCTTCTGGGAGCAGGCCTACCAGAAGCTGAGGAGGGTGCCCTTCCACAGCTCCATCTCCTTGGAGGAGCAGGTCTGTTAGGGCCTCTGCACTGGGCCCTGCTTCTCCTTTGACCATATTTGTGCTTGGTTTCTGCATTTTCCCCTTTTGTGTCCCTCTTCTGCCCAAAACACACACACACACACACACACACACACAACACACACACACACACACAACTTCCCCTCTTCCACAGCCCCAGATAAATAGTGGTTTGATGCTGTCTTATGAAATCCATGCTCCCCGCCACAGAGGGGAACAGAGGTTATGGGGTGAAAGGCCACTGGCCTTGGTGTCAGAGACCAGGGCTTCCATCTGCTTCTGCCACTTACTGACTGTGGGACCTTCTAGGGTACGGCTTAACCTCCCTCCACTGTGTCTCTTCACCTGTAAAATGGGACTCTAGTGGCATCTACTTCCTGGACTCTTGTTCTGAGTGTCCAAGAACATGCTACATGGAATGGCAGAACAGACCCCAGTGGGTGCTCAGGCCAGGCCAGTTTCTTTAGCCAGGAGGAGAGCACAACCAAGAGCCAGGATGAACAGTCAGACATGTGGCTAGGACAAGGCAAGCAGAGGGCCTGGGCCAGCAGGGAGGTGGTCAGGAGAGAGGAGTCCAGCCAGTGGGCATCCGAGCGTGTTTTCTAACTTGAGTGAGCCAGGTGGCTCCCACAGAGGAAATTTTACAGAAAGAAGGTTGGCCAGAGCCAGAGCTCCTTCCAGTGGGGGGCCTTTGGTCAAGCTGAGCCCTAAGGTGTCAACCGGCCCTGATGGCAAGGGGCTTGATTAAGAAATGAAGGAGCCAATTATGGGTCCCAACACACAAGATGATTGTTATGGGTTGATTGTGAGATGTCCCCCGAAAGCTCACTGTGAGAGAGACAATGCAAGAAGGTTCAGAGGAGAAATGATTGGGCTTTAAGAGTCTTAACTCAATCAGTGCATTAATTCCCTGAGAGGGATTAACTGAGTGGTCACTCAAGTGGTAGGTGTGGCTGCAGGAAGTGGGCATTGGGGCGTGGCTTTGTGTATGTATTTGTATCTGGCAAGTGGAGACCTCACTCTATGCTTACTGATCATGATGTGAACTGCTTCCCTCTGCCTCCATGATGTCCCACCTCACCTTGGGCCCTGAGGAATGGAGCCGGCCTTCTATGGACTAAGATCTCTAAACCTGTGAGCCCTCAAATAAACTTTTCCTACTCTACCATTGTGCTGGTTGATGCCTTTGGTCACAGCAGTGAAAAAGCTGACTAAACCAATGATCAAACCACTCTGTGGGAGCAGCCTACTGTATGTCAGCCCTGTACTGGCTGCTGTAGACGGGTGCCTGCTCTCAGTAGGCACTTATAACTCATTGGCTAAACCAGTGGAGGGGAATATGCATCTGTGTGGCTGTAGGAACTGCAGCAGCTAGTTTACCAACCCACCTTGTTTAGCTCTCTTCCCCATTCTCTCCAATGGCAGCTTTCTCCCCCTGGAAGAAATGAGGGCACTGAGACTGAGGTTATGGAATTACCCTGGGTCTCCTAACGAGGAAGGACCAGAACCAGCCTGGCTCCAAAACCTTTTCACTTACACATGAAAGACCACGGCCTCCAGGACTATTCCAGGAGGGTTGTGTGATCTAATTGGGAAAACCAGGCTTGGGAGGAAGGATGCAGACTGGGATAACTGGGTTAACAGTGCAGGTATGCGGTGACCTCCCCTCTCTGTGGGACGGATGCAGAACACGCGCTGGCTCCGCTGCACAGAGGCCGTAGGCCCTGGCACTCTGTGTTTGCTCCTGTTGTTGAAGATGAGCCCTGGCACTCTGCGTTTGCTCCTGTAGTTGAAGATGAGCCCTTACTCTGCCTAGCTGCATGATGCTGTCCTGCTGTACGCACAGATGATAAAGAGATAGTCCAGGTCAGGAGAGAATTTCAGGATGGGTGGCAGCTGGTCAGCACCCCAAGAGCCCATTACACTGCACTTCAGGGGGAGCAGCCATGTGCTGGGGGTTTCTGGACTCAGGCCCCAGTCCCAAGGGCTTTGAGATGCTGGGTGTGTGATAATGGACCTTCTGAGGGCTCTGTCTCACACTGAGCTGTAGCTTCAGCTTTCTTGTGGAGATTCTAGTCTTCTGTGAGGGTGGTTGAGGTTAAAACCTCACCGCTGGCTCAGGCCTCTCATCTTGCTCTGTCTAGAGGCTGCCCAGATGGAAGGAGGCTTTTGGGGTCCTTATCCCCACTCCTGGGAAGTCTCTCCCTCAGCTGCTTTCTCACTCATCCATCAAGAATAAAACTTCACAATACAAGGCTTGTCTCCAGGGCACTGTGCATAGCAAGGTGGTGAGGTGTGCTGGAAAGAGCAGTGCACGTGGGGCCGGGGTGGCCTGGTGTGTGTTCTGCCTCTGCTTCCGAGCTCTGGAAGGCAAGACTTGGGGGACACTGGCCTTCAAGCCCCACTTGTTAGGAGTGAAGGACGGTGCCCCCTCTGTAGGGTTAACTGGGACTAGCCCAGTGAGATCATCGTGATTACAGTACTGGGCACTTAGTAGGCACTGCTTAAATGGTGATCTTGCATCCAGTCCACAGTGGGACCAAAGAACAATCAGTGCTTTGTCAGAGCATGTGTGCTGGTTTGAGTGTGGAGGAGTTGTACCTTATTTACTCCTCTGACATCTCTGCTGTGTTCCTTTGTGAGCGGAGCATAGCACATCCTAAGCAAGGGCAAAGAACAAGCCAACCAGGACTGAGCACCCTGCCAAACCCAGTCGGGAAGGGCCCACCTGAGGACAAAGCTGGCAAGCCTGTACCCTCTGGGTCTGGCTCCTGGAGTGGAGGAGCCAGGAGGATGGCAGGGACTGGAAGAGACACTTGTCCCTCAGCCCCAGCCGTCTCTTGCCAGGTGGCCATTTGGCTTTCTCTTGTCAGATCTGATTGTTTATGGGAAACACAAATCTGAGGTTTTATATGAAATTAACTGGAACATGCTTGACTTATTTTTTTCTTTTTTGAATGCTGGGTGGGCCTCCCCAGCATCGGCCCAACAAAATATGTCTGCCTGCCCAGTGTGGCCGTGAGCCCCAGCAGGATGCCACTTCTGACCTGTCTTCTTTCCTTTTCTGTCCCCATTGATCCTGTCTCAGCTTCCTTGAAATGGCAAAGACCTTGCGTCTGGCATTTGATGGGGAAGGGGATTCTGCCCATCTGAGCCTGAGCAGGCTGCCATTTTGAGCAACAAGTTCCGCTCTGTCCTCCTTAACTTGGGCAATCTTCTCTCTTTCCAGGAATCACAGGGCCCTGTGTTTGTGAACTCCCAGGGAAAAAGGTACATGGATCACTCAGTCTACGTCCTATAGGAATTTGGAAATGAGTTCCTTTTTCTTCCTTTGCTTTATTACGATTGCTCTCAGAAAGTAATCAGGTACCATAAGACATTTCTGCAAATTTAGCTCATGTCAGGGGAAGAGCCCTGGGAGGAGGAGGGGACCAGGGAGATCACCTTCTTCTGGGAGATCAGCTTAGAATTTAGGCCCTAGAATCCCTCACCAATATCTGGTGCTCTCTAACCTCATAAAAATAGACTTTAGGCCTTTAAGATGATTTGCCCTAGATTGTTCATATAGGTTGGCCATTTCAGCTTCCAGGGTAGAATGCAGCACCTCTCTATAAGGGACCAGGCCTCCTCTGATGACCAAGCCAGAGCCAGTTCCCATTGCCCATGGGTCTCTGGGAGAGGCACTGGCTTAGTGGGTGATGGAGCACAGCACCCACTACAGGGATGGGCCCCTAGTCAGCCAGAGGCTCACCTATTACAGCCTGACTCCCAAACAGATTTGGACGTCAGAATCCTCTGACATCCTGGGCTCCCAGAACGCCCTGGAAAAATCCATAGTTTTGTTCTCTCATCTACAGATCAATGAGAAAAGGAAACCTAACACTTAATTCTGTTTGCCTCTCACTGTCACCATCCCCAATCCAGATTCCATTTGAAAGGTTTTTTTCCTTACTCTTATGGAATGTTAATGTACCCAAATGGGCCAACCTAGAAAACAAAATTACCATGGCAAACCAAGTCCTCAGAATCACAGGAATGGGCTCACTCTACAGAAGGGTCAAGGCTAGGGTTTGTGAACGTCAAAGTGGTATATAATGAGATTTGTTTATATCAAACTTGGGTGCAATTCCCAGCAACACTGGAGAATTGGTGCATTAAATCTAAAGAGACGTGGCTTAAATCAAAAGATCAAGTTACATATTCTACCAGGCAAAAGGATATTGCCATCCATGAATTAGATACCCAGGAGCTGGATTTGAGGAGTAGAGGGGAGATGAGAATTTTGGTCCAGTCAGAAGAGATGTGAGTTGTCTTTTTTTTTTTTTAAACAAATAATGTATGTTTCAGTTGTTCCTCTTGTACATGATGTAGAGACAACTAGGATAAATCTAGTCATCACGGACACTTGTGTTTTCTTTTTCTAAAGACCATTAAGAAATTTCTCCAACATTACTTAGTCTTATGGCTCCCTCCCTGAAGTCAGACCCAGCTGTGGGTTTTACAAGGAGCTCTGCAAAACAAAGCATACTTTAACAGGTTAAGTGTGGCTGCTTGGAGAAAAATCAGGAAAGGTTTCCTCTGTAATGGGGTTTTTCAATAACAATAGCACCTTTGCTATTTTAGGCTGGAGAATCTGTGTGTGTGTGTGTGTGTGTGTGTGTGTGTGTATCTTTCCTGTGCATTGTAGGATGTAGCATCCATAGCTCCCACCACTAGATGCCAGAAGCAACCCTGTGGTTGCAAGAACCAAACATGTTTCCAGACATTGTCACATATCCTCTAGGGGGCGACATCGCCTGCCTTGCCCCTGGAGAACCACTGCCCTAGGGAAATCTGGCTCTTGAGATTTGAGTCTCAGGAACTTCTTTTGTAGGGAGGGAGACAGAGCCTGGGTGGTGGAGTGTGTGGAACGGTCAAGGGCACAACCCTGGAATTAGATGGATCATGCTTGGAGAACAGCCCTACAGAGAACACAGTGTATGTTGAACAAAGGTGGGGATGGTGGTACATCATTTCCCTAAGATAGACATTTCCGTGCCAAGAGGGAGGTGCCTAGCAGGGCCTTCCAGGCCCGTGCCTAGCAGGACCAGGCTGGGTCAGAGATGTGCCCCTTTCTGCTCTTAGGCAGGCCTGCGTAATGACGGTCTCCATTCTGCAGGTCCAACCGTTGTGAGTGTCACGGTGATTCTCCTGAGTACTGTCCTGGGATCTGCCACCCTCGGTCTGGTTTTAAGGATGCAGAGGGGAAAACTGAGGAGGCAAAATAAAGACATTGGGTGGCAAATTAACTATGTTAACATCACCATCCTGCCCCAGAGCAAGGTGAGGCACTTGGGACCCAGATGTCCATTTGCCTTTTTTTTTTTTTTTGGAAGATACCTCATTCAGGAGCTGATGAGAGCAAGGGGTTGGCTCATTTATACAGTGTGCAACTCATGAGGTCCCCAGACCTGACTTCTGGTTCAAGGTACTGAATTGCTGAATACTTCTGTCACCTCCCTGAGGCTCAGTTTCTGACTATTGAAAAATGATCTGTAGTCTCTGAAGTTCCCTTCGACTTTATTATGCTGTGGGTATAAGAAACACATGTACTGCTCAAATGTTGAGGCTGTTTCTGGGGAGCATTTAGTTATCTCCTTTAATCTAGTGATGACTAGCATGGGAAGGCTCATTTGCATAATAAACACTTCATGACCATAAGCAGAGTGCAAGGCTTGGGGAACCCCACAAATGAGATGCCTTTAGAGGAAATCAGATGTACAGAGAGGTGTCTCCATGGGGTTGGTGAGGCAGAAGCCTTGTGGGGTTATAAGAGGAGCACTCAAGTTCCCAGCTTCTTGAAGGCTTCAGGGAGAAGGCAATATTTGGGAGGAGTGAGTTTGCTACTGGTGACAAGGAGAGAAGTTACATAGGATGTGGGTGGTTGAAGGCTGGAGAACTTGGCTGGGACCAAGTCAGGAAGGTTTCAATGTACAAAGTAAGACCCGGAGATTGGGTGTCATTACAACTTATTTCCAAATGTTCTTGGGGATTTGGAGTTTCCCTCTTCTCTCTTCAATCAAAACAGCTCTGTTCTGATTTGGTTGGTTTGTACATTAGGGTTCCAGGGCAGACTCTTCTGGGAAAACAAGGTTCCTGTGCTTTGAAGATGTTCTGTAGATGTTGGGGAGGCACTAGGGGAGACTAAATACAGAGGGACCCCAGGTTGATTCAGGAAAATGACTTTGACTTCACCTTAATTGATACACCTAGAACTTGATTCTGAACAGACTGAGAGTCTGCCCTCACAACTGGCAATGTCCATACAGACACCAGGAGAGATGCATGTATCAGATAGATATATTCACACTATGGGTCAGAAATATCAGAGTTCAAGTCCTGACTCTTCCATGTATTAATTGTGTGACCTTGGAATTCACCTTCCTAATCTATAAAGAGCACAGTCTTTCAGTACTTGGCCATGTCATTGAGAGCCATGGATTCACATGCTGTTTTGCAGCCACCTGGGAGAGGCACACCTGTATCAAGAGGCAACAGTAGTAAGGCATCTTGTGGGATGAGTTCTGCTGACCTCAGCACCTTTGTCAAGAGCCTGGGGGCAGGGAGAATTGGTGGGAAGCTCTTTTATGCCCCCAGTAGGGCTTTACCAGGTATTTCTTGAGCCAGGTGTCTTTATGTAGATCTCAATGAGTACTTCTGCCTTATTTTCCACATGAAGTCTTGGTCAGACGGGGCATTCTGAATAGGACATTCTCCAAGCAAAAGCCAAGGTGGTCTCTGCTCTCCAAACTGGTGCTTCTGAAACTTTAATGTGCGTACAAATCACTTGGGGCTGTTGTTAAAAATGTGGATTAATGTGTACAAATGTTATGTGTCAATTTTCAAAAAATTTCCTGCTTTTAAAAATGCAGCAGATTCTGAGTCAGTCGGTCTAGGTTCTGCATTTCTAGCAAGTTCCTAAGTGATTCCCTATGCTGGCTTCTAGATTAGACTCTGCTCCGTCCAATAGAACTTTCTGTGGTGATGCAAAGGTCCCAAATCTGCACTATCCAATATGGTATCCACCAGCCTCACGTGACCATTAAACATTAGTGTGACTGGGGAATTGCACTTTAAATTTTATTTAGTTACAACTCATTTGATTTTAAGTTTAAATAGCCCCATTTGGCTAGTGGCTACCTTAATGGACAAGTGTACTCCTAGAACATGCATTATTCCATTCTCTGGTGCTTTAATGAGCCTCTGTCACGGGTCTGGGCTTCTGCAGTGTAAACAGTGGCAGCTGCCAAGGCTGGGTCACCATTCCATTCCCACTTTCTCTCTCCCTCCCTTCCACACCCTGGAACTTAACGTCTCCTGTGCTCAATAAGTCTTTAGAAATTCAAGTCCCTGTGGTGGTGGGGAGTTATATAAAGAAAAAAATTCCATGTATTTACCTTTTAAAAATGGAAGTCCTGGAGAGTAGGGGCAGAAAGCTCTATACAAGGGAAGATTCGTTCATTGCTGTAAACGTGGGTTAGGTGAGATTAGAGTCAATACATTTGTATGCAACTGAATTTATTTTTCTAAATGTTTACTTACTTGAGTTTTCAAACTACAAAAATCTCCTAGGATATTACCAAATACAAACTATGGACCAGATGAAATTGTATGTTGTGGTCACTGGCCATTTAGAGAAGGAAGCCAGCAACCTGAAGCACATCACTCATAAATCTTCCTAAAATGGTCTCTTCTTCCTTCCCTCAACCCCTATCACTGTATTCCTCACCTCCATGGACTATGTCCGTGTTAGTGTCCAAATTCTTTAACAAGGGACTCAAGTCTCCTCATGACCTAGTTCTAACACACTTTCAGAAACTTTTTGTTCCTGGCCTAAATGCTATGCTTGTCCGGTTGGTCTTGCTTATCATGCCATATACATTTCACCTTCTGATAATGCCATGCCTCCTCCGCCTTCCTCACCCCATGTAGAACCTTCTTATGCTTTGGGGTTCAGCACCAGCATCACCTCTTCCTAGAATACTTTGCTCTATCCCATAGGCATCCTTTCCTCCCTGGAGCTCCCACTACAGTCCTGCGTCCTGTGTAGTTACCCCCACCTGAAAGGGGCAGATCTGGGATTGGCACAGAGCTCGTACTGTATCTTCTTCTACCTCAGACCTACCCCAGTATTGTGTTTTGTGATGATTAAAAGCAGACACAATAGGTAATACTCACCATAAGATATGCCATCAATGAAAACTTAATATGTGCCTGGCATTGAATTTCCAGTGTTGGGTATTTTAACAGTTTTGATCCTCATGGCAACTCTATGAGATTTTTAAAGCTTGAAGAAGTTCCATTCAGTGGGTGGCACTGGGTTTTGAAACAGGCATCTGACTCCGGATTTACATTATATCCTCACCTCACCTGAATGTTAATGGGGCAATACTGTATGATAGAAAGAGTATAGTCTTGGAGTTAGACATTTAAATTCTGGCTGTATTACCTACCAGTGTGCAACCTTGGACACGTTTCCTAACCTTAGTGGTCCCATCTGTAACTGGGCTATAATTCTAACTAATTGACTGCTGGGTAGCTAGCTCAGTGTGAGATATAGCACAGTGCCACCAGAGGGGTTGATAGGGCAGTGAGAAACGGAATTGTCCCTCCTGTAGACGAATCTCTTTTTTCAAGTCTTCCTGATCCTCCTTTTGCCCTCTGAATGGAGCTGTTTTGGGATCATCCTGGGTTAAGAACATTCCACTCTGCCTCTGATTCCAGAGAAAACATGACCATCTGCTATGTTGGTGACCAAGCAGAAGCATGGGATAGGAAGCTGACTGTGTGGCAGGAAGTCCAGCTGGTAAGGCCCCTCTCTGTGCCTTCTCTGAATGTGAGGGGTATTCTCCATCCCAGAAGAGCAATGGTGGGAAGCTACTTCCCTTAACCTGACCTGACACCCCTGCACCCTGACAGTCCAGGCCTTGGATCTTAGACCCTTGGCCTGGCCCAGGCACCTAAACCCTGGGTTCCTCCCACCTCTGCCCTCCCCACTTAATTCTTTCTGACCTTAATTCTGGCTCTCACCTTTTCCATCTGTGATGGCTGCTTCCCAACTTTGAACCTGGGCCTGGGAGGGAGTTTGACTTCTTACTCTGTACTAATGGCCTGTCGAGACCTGCACACTGACATTGGCAGCCACAAGCAGAAAGCAGGGCTGGCTGAGGTCACACTTAGATCCTGCCCCTGGCTTATTGGTTGAAGGTCCCTGTGGATTTACCTCCCAGCTCTGCCACTTTTAAGTTACATGATTTTCAAAAACTGACTTCCTCTTTGGGGGGGGGGCATCCATGTTCTCATCTGTAAAACAGGAGTAGTAACAGTTCTCATCTCACAAGGTCTTTGTAAGAATTAGCTGAAAGTATATAAGGCGCAGTCCCGCGCACAAAGACTCACTTTATATATGTACTGTTTTCACCATTATTTCCAGGTGTGTGAATTAAGGCATAAGAACATCATCCCCTTCTTTGGTATTTACAACATCTGTATTGTCACCCAGTATTGCAAAAAAGGAAGTCTATTTTTTTTTTGGGGGGGGGTTGTCCTATTTATTATTAGTCTGCCTCTGCTGAGATCACCCTTTGGTGAGCCTTCACCTGAGACGCAAATATTTTCATGTCTTTTGCCCATTCAGACAAGTGTATCCACAAACCTCTTCCCCAAATGTCTTTGTCACCAATTTTCCAATCATGACCCTTTCTAGTCCCTAACCATCCAGCCAAACTAAGGGTCACAGCTCATGAAATTGAATATAATTGCATATCTGGCCGTTTCCCCTTCCAAGTAAAGTGAACAACCCGGTGCGTTACTTTGAGCTTTCTTAGGAGGATGTCCCTTCACCGGCTGTCCTTTAGGGATGTGCGGAGAGTTCCTCAGCTGTCCAATTTGGGGTAGTGCCTGCAGTCATCTTCCTCTGTCAGTAGATCACAGGGGGCTGCCCATAGGAGCAGGGAGGGAGGGAGAAGTCAGGAGTGAGGAAAATGGGCCTTTGGAACACTTCCTCATGTAACTTTCTTCAGCCTTCAGGGCCTGCTGAGGTCCAATCTTGGGTATGTCACTTCCATTTGATGATGGAGTGTTGCTGTGCATGCCAACTTCACGGTTTGGAGGGTCAGACAATACCAATTCAAGATGGGTAGCTCAATTCCCATGTTAACTTAGTGACCTATGGCTAACTGTTAAGAATCTACTAAGGCCCAGTAGCAGGCCAAGAGCTCTCTCTCAAAACAAATAGTTATTTATGGCATTAGCAGTCTTGCTCCAAAATCTTCCAGGCCTGAAACTGGAACTCAACTTTAGGGGCCTGCCAAAGGTCTGTATAGCATCTCTATCTGCCAATGACATTTCACCACTGGATCTGCTGGATCATATGGCCTGAGTGGCAGGGCAGCTTGCATGCGGCTGATACAAGTTGCAAAGCCTTTTCTTGTTCTGAGTCCAACTCAGAGCCGGCAACTTTTTGGTCACTTGGCTGGAGTAACACACCCAAATAAGCATTTGTTGCCTCTAAAACACAAGGAATCCACTAAATGCTATATCTATTTCTTGGTTGTAGGAGCACTTAATGCAAGAACTTATCCTTCATATTAGAAGAGATGTTTCAGTATGCCCCAAACCATTAGACCCCACTAATTTCACTGAGGTTGAAGGCCCTCGAAGTGTAATTAGATTTCCTAACTTGTTACCAGTAAGTCTATGGAATTTGCTATTTCTTGATCATTTGGTTCAGTCAGTATCATGTCATCAATGTAATGATTAGTGTAGTATCTTGTGGATAGGGAAGGTGATCAATATCCCTGCAAACTAAATTATGACATAAGGCTGGAGAGTAGATAATACCTGAGGTAGGACAGTGAAGGTGTATTGCCAGCCTTGCTGGCTTGAAAACAAACTATCTCTGGTGGGTTTTTAATGGATAGGTATAATGAAAAAGGCATTTTCTAGATCAATATTGTGTAGCAGGTACCAAGTGATGTGTTTATTTTCTCCAGCAATGAAACCCCATTTGCTGCATCAGCTGCGATCATTGGTTTAAAATCATAATAATCCATAGCCATTCCCCAATTTTATTATTGTAGGGGCATATACAAAAACCACCCCCAAACAGTAGAAGTTCCTTCAATCTCACCTGTTATTTGTCTTCTGAGGCTCATATACACATACAAACATACTGTCTCTATTGGTTTCTTAAAAACATACACACTGGGGATATAACTCAGCTGTAGAGTGATTGCCTCACATGCACAAATCCCTGGGTTCAATCCCCAGAACTGCGCGCGCGCGCGCACACACACACACACACACACACACACACACACACACACACACAAAAACAAAACAAAACAAAACAAAACAAAAAAACCCCATGTAGGATAAAACTGATCTACAGCTTGCACTTCTCATTCTATAGTACAGCATGAACCCCTTCTGATTTAGCATAGAGACCTGACTCATGTTTAATGGTTGCATGTTCAGTGAAATAGATACACTGTAATTTATTTGAACCAATCTCCTTCCTGAGGGACGTTGAGGTTGATTCACTGTTTTGCTAGTAGAACCAAAGCTGAAATGAATACACATTCACATGTAATATAAATATAACCTTTACATATAAAATGCAAATTATAAACAAATATATCTACCTGCACATGTGTAACTATTTTGGTAGTCTTGAATCCCTGGTTAAAGGGAATGTTCCATCTTTCCATCTCTCTCTTTTTAAATTTTTTTTTTTATTTTTTAAATGACAAATTTCCAGTAAAATTCCTTAACCAAGGAATGACTTCATTTTAAAATATGCTGAATGCATTCAGCTCACAGAATCTCTTGCATACTCCAGGTAGCTCTTGGTCTATCAGGACTTGGTGAACTCCAGAATGGAAAGAGTTTCTTGGCCTGCCTGTCTGGGAGGTGCAGTGGTCCCTTATAGACTTTATGTCTTCAATGTTTTCAAAAACGTCTTCTGGATTATTTTCTTTTATGGTAATTAAATAGGATCATCCTCCTGGGGAAAGGAGGGCTGATGCTAGTGGAAAGAATCTGTCCATGACTTCTAAGCCATTTCTGCCACCAGTTCAAGCTGCTTCTATTCGGTGACTTCCCACCTCTTTGGGTGGAGTCACAAGACAGCGGGGGACTGAACACCAGAAAAGCAACTTTTTCCTTCAGTCTTGGTAACAGGCCTTTGACCAACTCTGTAATTACTGATCGAGGGTGGACATTGTTACAGCGTGCCGTTTCCAGGGTACCAGCTGCTGCATCGGGGTTGATATCAGTGCACAGGTTCTGAGGTCCTATCATAGAGCTAGGAATGCAGACACCACACCAGACCCTGACCCAACTTCAAGGCCTACTTCCATTCCCGCCAAATCAGCTGCCTCCGCGTGGAGTGCATCCAGCAGCCGGAACGTGTCCTCCGCGGGCCGGATCGGACCGTTGCTGAGCGCGCTGGGCCCCGCGTGCCGGTGCAGCGGTCAGGGGAACCTCGGTGCCGCCATCTTCGACCTTTCCGTCCTACGCAGAAAAGGAAGTCTTGAGGTAAGCAAAACGGTAAGCCTCGGTCTGATCAGTGACTGCTAATAGAGAATCCCCAGTGTTTGCCCTTTTTCATCCAAGGACAGTCCCTTTCTGGTCTAACTGTAAGACCTAGTTATCTTGTCGGGCTGCCTGTGGGGGCCAAATGAGCGCAGAGTTGCCAAGTGTCTGGTTAGGAGTGATCTGGGTGGATGTTCAGGAGCTCGTTTTCTTCTCCCAAGATGCCAGGCTGCCCCTGAATTGGGGCCCTTGTCCCTGTGGTATGTCATAGTCAGCCTTGTGTCATGGGCAGGCAAGGGTTTGTGGACCTTTTCAACCTCAAGTCAGGCTCTTGGTATCTCCTGGCAAGACTTCCACCCAGGTTTAGAATATTCTGCCTCCCATCCTATTAGGTCTGGCCACAAAGATGGGATTCGTTAGACCTAACTCTGTTTAACCTACGAAGCTGGCAGCTCCAACTTGAGTCACTGGTGATATTTTGAATATGTTTTCTAGGATATTTTGAGTAACTCAGATCATGAAACGGATTGGATATTCAAATGCTCATTGACAGGTGACATAGTAGCCAAGGTGAGTATAATGTCACAGTGTGTTTGAGTTGTCCTATGTAAGGGATAAATTTGAACTATGATCTTTACTGAAAATTCATGGCCTCTTCAAATCTCTTCAAAGGGATTCCTGCTCTAAAATCTACAACAAAAAATGTATTTTTCCACTATTTTCTCTTTCCCTAATCCAAGCAAATATGGAGGAGAAAAATTATTTTACATTGAAGTTGAAAATAATGCTAGGCTTATCTAATCGGTAAAAGAGTAGATTTTAGTATAGAGCATTATATCCCAAACAGAAGGTAACTGCTAGACTGTAAATGGGGCTGGTTCAGGGGAGTCTTAATAGTCTTTCCTCTCTCTAATCTCAGAGTCCTTTCCACAGAAAACTAGGATTAGTGCCACAAAGCTGCTGACCTGACAGGTGGGCAATGGACACAGATCTGAAAGGGTATATAAATAGGCAGAATCTTTATTTTGGTAGCTGGGGACCATGGTGGCTGCAAAGAAAAGAAGAATAACAACAGCAACCGTAACATATATAGACCCAGTGGAAATTGTAGCACACACCTATAATTCCCTGCTACTCCGGAGGTTTGAGGCCAGCATCAGCAACTTAGTGAGACCCTGTCTGAAAACAAAATTTTACAAAGGGATGTAACTCAGTGGTAGAGCACTGGCCTAGCATGTATATGGCTCTGAATTTCACCCCTGGCATGGGCAAAAAAAAAAAAAAAA